CCCCAAAACCCCAAAACCCCAAGAAGTGAGATATTCAAGATTAGTATAATAAGCATATATAAATATATCTTATATAATCATATTATAATCATTGCAATAATGGAAGAAGAGATTTCTTTTATAAAAGATAATACCCAATTACTAGTATCTCAAAATAAGAAAACAAATTTAGAAAATCCAGGAATTACATTTGATAAAGCTTTGCATAAGGCTGGAGGTTTTGGTATAAAATACATTTGTTGATATTCTTTTTTCAGGATTTTTCTAGATATATTGTTGCTTCTTCATGATGATAATGTATGTCTCAAATGGCTATGTGTTTTACGCTTTGACTTATCTAGAACTATTTCCTGACTATACTTGTCCTAAAGGTTATCCTGATAAATGTGATTAAGCAGCAAGATGTAAAGATCCTGTTAATGTTCAAATCGATTGGACATCTCATAGATCCTTACATAACTGGGTAGAAACTCTATCTTTGGAGTGTAAGTTAATGAATAACCTTAAACAATATGCTAGGTGCCGAGTCTTATAAAATTGGACTACTTGGATCTATGTATTTTGCTGGATGGACTGTTTCTTGTATTTTTGTACCAAGACTATCAGATCTTTATGGCAGAAAATGGCCTGTACTAATTAGCTCTATAGCATCTGTTGCCATTTATACAGGTCTCATTCTTTCAAGAAATATAAACCTCTCAATTGCTTTATTCTTCTTGCTTGGATTAGGCTGCACTGGAAAATCATCAACATTGTATGTTTATATGCTAGAACTAGTCCCAAGTAACAGGCAAACCTATGTAGGCACATATATGCTTTTCGCAGACGGCTCAACTATGATTCTGCTTTCATTATACTTCAGATTTATTTCCAATGATTGGTTTTGGTTCCAACTATATGGTGTAATTGCCACAGGTGTTTCAACTGCTGCTTGTTTTATCATTCCAGAATCTCCTAAGTTTTATGTGAGTTACAAGAAATATTAGTAGGCAAAAGATGGAATCGCTTTTATCGCAAAATTCAATAGATCATACTTTGTCCATTAGAACTATAAGTTTGAAGCAGAAGTGGCAGACTTAATGAAATCTTAGACTCAAATCTAACAGTCATCAGTATCTATACATTCTAATCCTAATGATATCATGGAGTAACCTTTTTACATTAATTCATAAATAGGACTTAAGTGGACATGAATTTAACCGCAATGAAGTAAACTCAGGAGGACGAGGCCCTAAGTGGATCAATTAAAGAGCTACTAAGGAATAGAAGACATTTCATAAATTTACTAATCGTATTACTACTTTGGATTGTATCATCATTCGACTACTTCCTTATTAACTTCCAACTAAAATACATAGAAGGTGATATTTATATCAATACAATTGTTTCCTCTGTTAGTGAGGTCACTGCCTATATTATATCAGGAGCATTGTATGAGACGATTGGAACTAAGGTATCCTTTGTATCTTCTTTTTGCATAGCTATTGTTGGTTCAATCTTCTATATTATATTCGGAACAACAGCTAAAAATCTAGTGCCAGTAATGGTACTTGGCTCTAAATTTGGAGTTTCAGCAGCCTTTAACTTGGTTTACCTAGCCAATACTCTTTTCCCCCCAATTTATGCTTCTACGACTATGGGATTCTTTAATGCCTTCGCAAGACTTGCTTCAATGCTCGCACCATAATTTGCAGAATTTGATAGACCTATACCAATGATTATTTTCTGTATAATGGCTGGACTTGCTTGTGTATTCTCATTCTTCCTAAGAACCTAAGCATCTAAAAATTCGCAAATATAATCTAAGACCCAATCACCCTGATATCTATCCTAGCAGTTTAAATGAGGAATAAGAAATCAAATATTATTAATATGCAGGGTAAATTATTATATTCTTTTATTTGAAATCTATACTATTTCTTAAATTAATGAATACAGGGGTTTTGGGGTTTTGGGGTTTTGGGG